GAGGCCTTCAAGGAGATGGATTGATGCGGTGGCTGCGATGATGGGCTCAAGTATAGTAGGGATTGTGGAGCTGGTGCGGGATTGGGCAGTGTTTCGTTCTGCTGTGCATGGGGTCTCTATGAGTCGGAAACGACTCGACGGCACTTAACAACAACAACAACAACAGGGCTGACTTCCTAATGGCATTACACTCCAGATGATCCGTTGAAGGTTCACACAGTAGTCATTCCCCCCACATCAGGAATTAGATTAAGAAGGAGCGTACAATTCTACTGTCATTGGTGATGGAGGGTACTTCAGCTTCCTTTGGCTACCATAAAAATAGTCACCACAAGTTTGTTACTTAGCTACAGAAACTTACTATCTCACAGTTCTGAAGGCTGGCATTCAGACACCAAGGTGTATGCAGGGTTTTACTGCATTTGAAGGTTCTGGGGGAGAATCCATTCACTGCCTTTTCCAGCCTCAGAAAGAGCTTGGCGGCTCCAGGTATTCCTAGGCCTTTAAGCACATCACTCCCACGCCCCTCCGTGGTCCTCCTACTTTTTTCTGTGTCTTCTGCACTGTCTATGTTACAAGAATGCACATGATTGCACTCAGGCCTAGCAGGAGAATCCAGGATTAATCTCTTTTTGCAAAGACCCGTTGTTGAATTAAAGTAAAACTCACATTTTACCATATGAGTCATATTCCCAAGTTCCAAGATTTGCAACATGAATGTGTGATTTTTGAGGCAAGGACCTAACCATTACAGGAGACATGTCTTCTGATGACTTCATTAACAAGTCTATTAACAACAGGCCCAGGTAGGAAAGTAAGTTTTCTCTTGGGTGTCATGTGTGGTATTCCATCTGCATCAGCTGCAGAGATTAGGAGATCATGAGGGCAACTACTTCTAGGATGATCCACCTCCTGCAGGACTAACGAAATACTACTGTCCTGTTTCTCTGGTACATTCCCTACCCCTGAAGTCCTTCTAATGGAAGGTACAAATGTTGAATATTCTTTTAATTCTGAGAACAAAGACTTCTTCACTGATGATGTTCAAATATCTCACAGTCATCCAGGACCACAGAAAATATAATTATGCCATTTTGTAAATGATGAAATTGAGTGCAGTTGATGGTGATGGTGACCCACAGAGAGAGGTTACCAGTGACAGGTCTTCATAATAAGTGAATTGCCAGAAATGACACAGTCACTAAAAAGAAGGTTTCCTGCCAATGATTTTTCTCAAGCTTAGCTGTATGTCTCTGTTCCTCAGGCTGTAGATAAAAGGATTCATCATTTGAGGGACCACAATGTACATCACTGAGGCTATTTCTGTCTTCTTGGAAGAAGGTGTAGATTCAGAACAGATGTACACACCCAAGCTTGTCCCATAGAATAAAGAAACAACTGAGAGGTGAGACCCACAGGTGGAAAAAGCATTATACTTGCCACCAACTGATGATATTCTCAAAACAGAGGAGATAATCTGAGTGTAAGAGTATATGATCCCAGAGAGAGGAATTCCAGCCAATACGCAAGCCGCCAAATATATCAAGATGTTGTTGATGAGGGTGCTAGAACAGGCGAGCTTGAGGACCTGAGCAAGTTCACAGAAGAAGTGAAGGGTTTCCAGGTCTATGCAGAAGGAAAGCTGCAAAACCATCAGACTGTGGAGCAGGGCATTCACCATACTAATGGACAAGGAAAGTACAATCAGCAGACCACAGAAACAGCGGTTCATGCTGAACGTGTACCTCAGAGGGTGACAAATGGCTACATAATGGTCATAGGCCATTGCTGGAAGAAGAAAATGTTCCAAATCAGTAAAAATGATGAAAAAGTAAACATGGCTGAGGCAGCCTGTGTAAGTGATGCTCTGATTCTGTGTGTGGATGTTCACCAGCATCTTTGGGATGGTGATTGTGTTTACCCAGATGTCAGTAAAGGACAGATTGGAGAGAGAGAAGTACATGGGAGAGTGCAGGTGGGAGTCAGAGCTGACAGCCAGGACGATGAGCAGGTTTCCAAGGACAGTGACCAGGTACAGGGTCAGGAACAGGCTAAAGATGAGGAGCTGCAGCTCTGGATCCTCTGTCAGCCCCAGGAGAGGAATTTTGAAACACCTGTTAGATTTTTGAGATCTGTAT